AGAAGGGCTGTTGGCCTCCCCTGCCTGGCCTATTGCATGGAACACACAATTAGGCTGCGTCTAGACTGGCATGATTTTGCACAAATACTTTTAACGGAAAAGTTTTTCCATTAAAAGTATTTGCACAAGAGAGCGTCTATACTGGCATGTGCCTTTGCACAAGAGATGTGCTTTTGCGCAAAAGCATCCATGCCAGTGTAGATGCTCTCTTGTGCAAGAAAGCTCCGATGGCCATTTTAGCCATCGGGCTTTCTTGTGCAAGAAATTAATGTGGCTGTCTACACTGGCCCTCTTGCACAAGAGGGCTTATCCCTGAGCGGGAGCGTCAAAGTATTTGCGCTAGAACCACTGATTTTGTACAGTACAAAATCAGTGTTCTTGCGCAAATACTCGCGGCCAGTGTAGACAGGTGGCAAGTTTTTGTGCAAAAGCAAATGCTTTTGAGCCAAATCTTGCCAGTCTAGATGCACCCTTACAGGTCAAAATGCTACAGTAGAACAGTCTGAACTTCGTGGCCGTTCTTTGGGGCTCAATTGACACAGGTAGTGAAAGCTCAGGAAAATTGCCCCAAGCAGATTTAGGAACACATGTGCCATCGAATGTCACTGAGACCTGTGCGCCTAAAGTCCCTGGGCACTTTGAAAATCTTGGATTTTCAATTCAGTCCTGGGTGACAAGCTTGATGGGCTAAAATGCCAGAGGTATAAAGTTCCTTTCCAAATGGGGAGTTTTCTATCCCACCCATTGAAATGGAGCCTCATGGCGATTCTAGTCCAATTCATTCCCTGGTTGTGCATTGTGCGAACAGCTTAGGACAGCAGTGACACGACTGATTTCCGGAAGAGCAGTTAACAAAAGGAAAACGGTGCATTCTCCAGCAGGCTTTCGAATAGAAACCCTCATTAAGTGGTTCTAGCAATCTCCAGTTGGCAAGTACCCACATTTAAAAATCAATAACACATGAAATATAAACATACTATTAATGAGGACCTGTTGGGAAGCACAGGGGGTTTAATTAGTGGTGCTTTAACAGCTGTGTCTGTGAGACTCACAATGATGTTTTTTTCCCCCCCTGAGAACATGCTAAATGAGAGATCTCAGGACCAAAAGCTGCACTCTTTTCTGCCTGGAAAATTCATTGTCTAGACTTGTGCCCGTCTGTCATTGACACAGGAGGTTTTCCCAAGTGATAAAGGCCCCAATTCAGCCTGTGCATAAAGTAATGGGAACACTGAGCCAGGTTCTGCACCCCTCATAAGCCACCTTTACACATGCAAGAAACCCAAGGGATTTTAGTAGGGACTAATCAGTGAATTAGAATGTCTCCCCTAGTAAGAGGTTTGCACGAGCCCCTAACTTTTTCATAATTAAAGAAATAAAAAATTTCAGCCAGGGAAATCATCTCTCTGCCCCTATAGTTCTGCAGTCGGGAGTTGCCAGGGGTCTGATCCTTTAAATGCCAATGAGGTTCCTCTCTGCCATAGAGTGAGCATCATACTGAGTGTGCTTGGGGGCATGAAAGAGAATAACTAATGTGATTCTCTGCAAAGGAAGCCCCATGGGGTGTCTTAGACCCAGGACGCCTGCGTGACTTTCTCACTATGGTGTTTTTCCCCCCTATGCATTTAAACTGCTTCAGCTCAGTCTCAGAGATGGGACTGAGTTGTAATGTTTGGACTTGAGGCTACCCAAATTTCAGGGGTGTTTGGAAGAGACAATGTGGTCTGGTCTCCTCTCCACTCAGACAGTATTCGGAGCAAACGAGCCATATATACATGCTAGCTAAAATGGTTTATCCTTAGTTCTATTTAGTCTCCCTGGCCCATCACCGCACCTGAGTCTGGGGGATAATCTTGCCTTAGGCGTTGGAACTTTGCATTGCAGAGGTCCAAAACAATCTCCCAATGAACACCTGACACCACTGAAGTCAATGGCAAACTCCCATTGACGTAAATGGGGTCAGGATTTTAGCCTGGCTTTTTATTATAGAAACATGATGTCCATAACAAACAAATGGGCATCACTGCTTCACGCTGACTTGGGAATTTCCACCTACCTGGACATAGTCTTAACCTTACTACATACATCTTACTTCAAAGAGACTTTAACACCAGATTACAGAGGGAAACTTCAGAACTTTCTTTCATGCTTAAATTTGACACTTTACGAATGGGCCTTAAAGATGCTAATAACCGTAACGATTACAAAGATAGCTTCCCCACTTATCACCCCTAGCTATTCATTAACTCATAAATAGCTATTCCCTCCCTCCCTCTCCCTCACCTCATCTTCTATACTAAATCTGATTTGTCAGTTTAATAATGTGTTCACTTTTTTCATTGTATTCCTTTTAATATATATGGTCATGCCAATTCTCTTCCAAAATATGATCTGAGGAAGTGGGTCTGGCCCACGAAAGCTCCTCACCTATTAAACCATCTTATTAGTCTTTAAAGTGCTACATAGTTTTTCCTTTTGTTTTAGCAAGATCAGACTAACGCGGCTACCTTTCTATTACTATTTGGAATAACCTGTATTCCTCTCTTAGTATTGCCTCTTCAAAAGGTAATTCTACCTTTTCCAGAGGAGCTACGTCTCCATTTCCGGCTGCCCACTGCTGACTGATTGTTTGTGGGTTCAAGCTGTTAAAAGAACATTTCCCAGCATGCATCTCTGGTAGGTGACCCTCTAAATTTGGTTGGCCAAAGTAACTGCTGCATCAGATGTTGAAGAATGCAGTTCAATCTCTTCTACTGGGTAAGGATTTTCGGTTCCTATGATATCTACTTATTTTCTCGTTCCCAAGACAATGGCAAATGCTTCTCACTTTTAAGATGGGCCACAAAGCTTCTCCCTCCACTTCCCCAAATCATCTTCCCTTCCAATATTTCTATCACTTACTTCTGTGTGCTGTGGGGCAGCTCGCATGCGTGATTCAGGGTCAGGGTTCTGTCCCCTGGGGTAGCATCCCTGCTGTTCTATTTCATACATCTTCCCTTCCAATATTTCTATCACAGAGTCAAGGGAAGGGTCACTTTTGCACTGAGAGGGTGCATCTACACTGACCATAGCTCAAAATAAGATACACAATTTGAGCTACGCAAATTGTGTATCTCATTTCAATCTTATTTTGAAATAGTGTATTTCATAATTTGGCGCTGTCTACACAGTGCCAAATTTTGAAATAACCCGCTATTCCAAAACACCCCTTACTCCTGTGGAATGAGGTTTACAGGGACGTCAGAATAGCGAGCCCGTTATATTTTGAATTAACGGGCTCGCGGTGAAGATGGGGGATAGCTATTTCGGGATACTCTGGTATCCCGAAATAGTGTTGCAGTGTAGACGTAGCCAGAATGAGTTTGACTGGCTTACCTCATGGGAATGGAGGCATTTGAAAAGATGAATGCTTTGTTTGCCTACCTCCAGACATGTCCACTGATCATATATATACACACACACTTTAGCTTTAGAGGATGTAGAGGCTTAGGCAGTGTAAAGGTGAAGTTAAAAGCACCATTTGAAGAAAAAATATTGTCTGTGATCCCTGAATGGTTCCAAATATTTTAGGATGAATAGCAGAGCTGCTGAAATCATGACCTTTATTCAGTGCATTTTTCACAGCTGGGGATTTTATAATCATGACCATAGCAAATTTCTAGAGCTTTGAAATGCAAATAGTCAAGAGGGCCTTTCTTCAGAGGAAGTGCTACATAGTCCTGTATTTTGTTTCTTCAGAGGAAAACTTACAAGAGTGTGGAAAGGAGAATGCACAGAAAAGAGTTCACATTAGACCATGGTGGGGAGGGGAATTGATCATGAATCTCTAAGTTGACTCTTTTGTCAGTTGGTGGGTCCTTAACACCTCTGAAAATCAGGTCCCATCTTGAGAATCCAAAAATAGAGGCACATAAAATTAGCAAATACTTCCATAAAGTTGGCTGCATGTCACATGTCCACAGGGCAGCTGATGCGGATGCCTCATTGAAAGTTTTATTGGTCAGAGTTTTCTTTTATTAGTAGAGATATGCACTGCAGTATTCATAAGGACTCCTGGACAAACCTCACGAGGGTTGGGGTTGGGTTGGAAAAGCTTCCGGAAATTAGATGGCTTTTCCAAATGTTACCCAGCTACTTAGTTAGAAACTATGTGTGTGGGCATGGAATTTATTCTGAGATAAGGGGCTATGTCACTAGCCTGTGAAATGATCTCCTGGGTTAGAGTCTTTCTACTTAAAGGGATACTGATAAGATTAAATATACATACCCATTTTGCCAGAAAACCCACATTTTATTTAAAAATAACAGTAAGTACAGTATACATATTTGTGATGATATGGGCAGGACTGATGCACATTGGAAACAATACTTTTAGGACTGTAGACAGAACAATAACCTCAAGGGACATTGTGGGTTAGCCCTTGTGGATATGTGACCTATACAGAAAGAGAAATACAAAAATGTTCTATTGCTAAAAATGAACAGTGAGCATGTGAAGTGACTGTTATCTTCATCCTTGTCTGTTTGGAATGAGAAACGGGAAGTGACGGTTGAACAATGCCACAAAGCTTTGTTTTTTAGAGAATAAAACCTGGTACCAATGGGGTATTTTTGGTCTATTAATACTGAATGTTATGTTTTCTGGATAGAATTATTTAAAAAACCTGATAATTATTATTAATACTACTGGGGTAGCATCTAAATAGCATACTTAGAGATCCTGTCAGCTTCCCTTACTCCTTGTGATTGCAGGGAGTACTGGCACCAACTGGAACCACCCTCAGCATTTGATTTAGTGGGTCTTCACTAGGCCTACTAAATCAAATGCCAGAAAATTGATCTTCAGGACGTGGAGACATGGCCTAATGGATTTATTTGGGTTTAAACTTTCGTGGGCAAAGACTTCATCAGAAGTGGGTCTTTGCCCATGAAATCTTATGCTCAAATAAATCTGTTAGTCTTTATGGTGCCACAGGATTCCTCATTGTTTCTCCTTATGTTTATTTTAAACCTGTGGCTTATTAATTTCATTGTGTGACCTCTGTTTCTTGTCATGTGAAGGGGTAAATAATACTTCATTATTCACTTTCTGCACAACACTAATGATTCTATAGACATGTATTGTATCACTGCCACATGCAATCATTTCTTTTCTAAACTGAACAGTTCCAGTCTTTTCATCCTCTCCTTATATGGAAGCAGTTCCAAACCCTTAATCAACGTTTTTCACAGGAAAATCTAAATTAAATGATCCAAAGAGAAACATTAATATCAACCTGAAATAAAAGCTCTATATCGGCCCAATACATCCTAGTAACTCATGGGTGTTGGAGTCCCAGGTTTTTTATGCTCCTGTTCTCCCATATGAGATTTGCTCCCTTGCCAGACTACCATGACGCACTATGGTTCCCCCCTGTTGGAATTCCATTTTCCAAACAACTCTACTCAATGTCGATATGGGTTGCAGACTGTCACCGAAAAAACTCCAGGATTACATACCCAGAATACAGTTCCCCTGTGCTCAGAAAATGGAGATCTAAATAATGCCACAAATTGGCAAAACAGCTCAGGTTCTAACAGATAGTGATGTGTATAAAAACAAAAGCTAGGACAGTTGTGTTGCTAAGAAGTGTCCCCTGAAGCAGAGAGGTCCTGTGGACACAGTGTAGCTGTACTGTACAAATATACATGTATGGTTCCACACGATTGACTCACACTTTAGAAAAAAGGCTCTTATGTCAACCTGAATCAGTTTTTGTTTTCAGTCACTGGAAGAAGGTGATTTTTTTAAAAAAAACAACAACCTGAACCACACTTCTCACTGTCAGCCTTCTTTTTAATGGCCACGAGTGTCAAAAGACAACCTACCTCTAACTCTTGATTTGAAAAGGAATGGGTTTTTAAAACTACAGCAAGCACAAATGTGGACTAATTTCTAACTCTTACTTAATTAACACAATAGGAAGCAATTCTGGGGAATTGCACTTGGAAATACATTGACTATAAAAGGGGTAAATTAATAAGCACTTAGTATGACACATTGAGACAGAATGTTTTCTTTAATGTGATTTTCTACCTCTATCATATCTAATAAAATGATTTTAATTATTAAGAAATCTCAAAAAGGTAGGAAATTTATTGTTTGAAAGCATAAAGATTTATGTAAAAAATTCTCTTCAAGATGTTTAATAAATGTAGGAATATACTTCTTCCTCGGCGTAACACTCAACCATCCCTCGTCCTCAAAAACTTCTATATTGGAAATTAGATAAGAATTTTCCCTCCTCTTTAAATCATTTGAAAAATTAAAAAAGCTATTAGTATCTTTTCCCTTAATGCCTTGACATAGAATCAAGCACCCATGTGGATGTCCTTCGAATTCCCTGTGTTCTATTGAGTTGTCAGGGTGAAATTCACCCTAGTACAGAGGACTTGAACAAGGATCCTAACAGAGGTTTAGAATTACTTAAGCTCTTAAAGAGGGATCAATACGCTCATCTACTTTAATTGGATTACTTGCAAAATTAAGCATGTGTTTAAATGCTCAATTGAAGTCTAAATGGGATTTAAAGATGACAAGGAGAGAATTTTTTTTTAAAATTAGAATTGTAACTGCTTTTGTGATGATGCAACAAGGCCTAAACTGTTTATGGGTTTTGTTGTCCTTTAAAAAAAATATTTTATTTTCTATTCAGTTTAACTGTTGCACTCTTGTGATGTTGTTACACATCTGGCGTTCACTATAGTTTTCCAGGTACACAAGCTCTAGGGCAAGTCTACATTTAAACAGCTGCATTGGTCCAGATGCAGCGCTTTAATGAAGATGCTCTGTGCTGCTCGGAGAGAGCTCCCTGGGCGAAGTGTGGGAGGTCCTGCTCCATGCTCCCAGAAGGGGCAGGGCTTTAGGTAGAAGGGGCGGGGCCGGGGCAGCCAGCCCAGAGCCCTGCCTGGAATGTGCTGTCACCAGCCCTCGGAGCCACCCGGAGCCTGTGGTGTGGCACTCCAGTGGCGATTTAAAAGGCCTGGGAACTCCAGCTGCCACTGCCACAGTAGAGTGAATTGCTGGTACCTGGGGAAATTGGCCCCTTCCCCCCATCTCTCCCTTCCGCCTGGTCAGCAGGCCTCTGTCTCTCAGGGAAGTGGAGAAACCATGCTGCTGAGGGGTGTGCATTTTTCACATCCTCGAACAACATAGTTATACTGCAATAGGTCTGCAATATAGATCAGACCCAGTGCTGGTCCCTTCAAAGGGGCTCCCATGAGGCATGGCTCATAGCCCATGGCAGTCAATAGAAGGTCTCCCATTGAGTTCATTTACCTTTTAATCAAGCCCTTACCCTCTTACAAAAATCCCAGACTAAAAGTCTTTGATGCTTCTCTCAGATTCCCCAGAATCAGAAGCAAGTATCGTTACTGCTTTGTCTTCATGAAAGGGAGCTTTGCTGGAGCCTAAACTGTGCGAGAACATCCCGCTGCACTCATCTGTCCACCTGATCAGGATACTCCTGTCTAAACCTGGAAATTGCTGTAGGATAAATCGTGCCTTGCAGGGAACATTCAATGAACTTCAGTTCCACAGTGTCTACTGTGTCCAGTCCTTCCCTCTAGACACTCACAGGTACTACTCAATCTGCTGGCTGCAAAGGGAACAAATACACAGCAGCGTCGCAGAAGAGACGTTCCTTTCCCAAGGAGAACATCACAATGGCTAATGTAAACATGATATAGGAATTTAAAAGAGAAAATATTTCAGCCCTTTTTTAGAAATAACAAAGAAGCAAATAACAAACCAAAACTTCCCCCTCCTCTCAAGTTACGTAAAGGATCCTATGTGGGCCTCTCTGTACTAAGTGAATTTCATAAGTCCAGAATAAATTACATTACCTCGAACCACAGTTTCACCATAAAAAGGACTGCAACTTGCAGCCTGTGGTGCGTCTTCATAATAAAAAGTTTAATAAATATCTAGCAAACTGCAAATAATTTTGATCTATCTTTTAAAATAGTCATTCATCATATGATGTGGATGTCCATATTTTGCAGAAATGTCCATCTCTCTGAATAGCACACTGGATCAATAGATTAGCTTCCTCTTTTCTTACACACATAGCATTCACGTTGTGCTTGGGAAGTGGCGAGAAAAAATAGTAACATGCAACCTCCTGGTAGAATCTTCAATTTCGCAAGTATTGGTTCCCATTGGCCCAGCTTTGTTTCCTGTTCCTGCAACACCTCATGTATAGGAGACTGATCCTGAGAGGTGCACTGCACCCTGTCCATGCAGGACACACTCAGCACCTTATAGGATCGGGCACTAGGCAGTTTGAGCAGTTTCTGCTTTAATTCTGCACCATTTCAATATTGTTGAATGTATCCACACCCGTTCTCACTCCTTCATCTGCATTCCCTCCATCAACTCCTTGGTTCTATTGCACAAGGACCTAACAGTGGCGGCACCTTGCCCACTGTAGAATGCTGCAACATGCAGTCCATTGGTATGCAACAGTTCAGTAGCACACACTGACTGCAAATAGTTTTGCCTTCTAGATTTTATTTTCTCGAGGAGGCAGTTGCTTCTGAGACAGACCCTTGGCTTCCTTTTTTCCTGTGTCAAAGGAAACTGGATCATCATTTTGAAGAGCTGCAATAGGCCCTGTTTGTGATGGACTTTGGGCTTGGCCATGATTTATAATTATTGAAGGGACTTTATTAAAAAAAAATCGCCCTGCAATTCTTCTGTCATTCTTCAAAATACCCTGGGAGTTTCCAGTTTCCCTGGCATGTTGGATACATTACAACACTGCAGGGAGGTGATCAGCTTTGGTTTTCTTGAAACATCGGGAACTTTAATGAAACAAAATCCAAATCACTTTGAAAACAGCTCGGAAATGTGCACTATCTTTAGGCCATTTCAGTATTCCAAGGTCTCCATGGCTACTGCAGTGCATGTCCTGTTTTGAGAAGGATTTTGCATGGTTTCCTTCTCTTTTCTGAAGGATCCATTCCATTTTGACACTTAAAGAGAGAGCGAGAGAAAGCAAACCCTTCAAACAGGTGTCGTTCTCCTGTTAACCATATTGATGTGGAGTCCTTCTTTAAATTCTTTCTGAAGAAAGTTGTGGACCTGCAGAAAGCTGGCTTCTTGATCTGCATTGTAACTGGCTGCTGTGGTCACTTTCAAGGGCTCTCTGGACAGAGTGTACATGGAAATCTCATTCATAGGGATGGAACTGGCAATCCTCATGCCCACTGGAGAAATGTCCCTGGATGGAGAAGGCTCTGTAGAGCGAGAGCTGGATCTGGATCTCCTCCTCCTGTACCTATAGCTTGGCATCCTGGCATAAGGGGAAGAGGAAGAAGTCTTAAGGAATTCCCTCTTGGTTTTAAATCTCAGCTCTTTATTCTTCTCAATGTAAATATTCACTGCCAGTACTCCTATGGACTCTGCCACAATAAAAGACAAAGCTCCAAAGTAAAAAGACCAGCCATAGTTGTAATGGTTCTTTTTGTCCTCATCTCTCTTGTCACTTGGGTCACCGGCATTGCTGGATATATAGACAATGATCCCAATGATATTACTCAATCCTGGTAAGAGAAACAAAAAATTTGTCTTTATGAGTAGGAAGGCAGACCCTCAAACCAAATCACCCTCTAGGTCTGAAAACTTAGAATTGCTACAAGGCATGGTCTTATTTATTTATGGTAAAACAAGATATTAGCCCTCATGAACGTAAAAGCAAACCAAAAAGTTTGTCTGTGGGTGGGCAGAAAAGCATCCCCTGGAAACCAAAGGTGTGATCTCACTGAATAGATTATAATAACTCTTAGAAGGTCTGCGCCAACCCTCCTTGCAGTTAGTGGAATATATGCAGTTCGGTTCAGGAATAGTTAGGCCTTTTCATACACAGATCTCACACCAGCACTTTGCAGATTGGGCAGAGGGGCAGGGGAATGAGGCACCGAGATTTACCCAGGATTACACAGCAGGGCAGTGGCAGAACCAGAAACATAACATAAAAACATAAGAACAGCCATACTGGGTCAAACCAAAGGTCCTTCTAGCCCAGCATCCTGTCTTTAAACAGTGGCCAATGCCAGGTGCCTCCAGACTCCAGACTCCCATGTCAATGGCCCGTCCACTGGGTCATGCAGTCTCATAAGTTGCTGGCATAGTCCCACTAACTTTGGTGAAGCAGTACTGGTCCATACTGCTTTGTTAATGGTGACAGAGCAGTGACAAATCAGAACTGGCTAATGTCGTTTAGCGGCCATATAATATTCAGAGGTGGTAATAAAGATACATTTTGAGCCCAGGGTTATAACGGTTCACCTTGATTGAAATAAACTCTTCTCCGCCTGGGTGCATTTTCATCTAGCTGCTATCACCGTGCACCCGGGGGCGGGGCTGCACATGTGCCGTGTGCCCGGGGCCGGGCTGCACATGCGCTGGGCGCCCACTGCCTGGAGTGTAACTATGGCTCGGTCCGGCACTGAGGCCAGTAACACAAGTGTTTTACATTTAGTTAAATACATTCCAATTGGGCGGCCACGTGGACTGAGAATAAGACACGTCTTTCAGCTAAGGTTTTTCTTTCCCCCAAATTCTCAGTAAATATGGCCTCTGACTTGCTAGGCCATTTTTCACTCTAGAGACATCATAGTCAGTTAACACCTTTGTTGTTACAATTGTTCCTTAAAGCCTCAGATGGGCTACGTCTACACTGGCATGATTTTCCGAAAATGCTTTTAACGGAAAACTTTTCCGTTAAAAGCATTTTCGGAAAATCATGCCAGTGTAGACGTAGCCCATCTGAGGCTTTAAGGAACAATTGTAACAACAAAGGTGTTAACTGACTATGATGTCTCTAGAGTGAAAAATGGCCTAGCAAGTCAGAGGCCATATTTACTGAGAATTTGGGGGAAAGAAAAACCTTAGCTGAAAGACGTGTCTTATTCTCAGTCCACGTGGCCGCCCAATTGGAATGTATTTAACTAAATGTAAAACACTTGTGTTACTGGCCTCAGTGCCGGACCGAGCCATAGTTACACTCCAGGCAGTGGGCGCCCAGCGCATGTGCAGCCCGGCCCCGGGCACACGGCACATGTGCAGCCCCGCCCCCGGGTGCACGGTGCCCCTTACCACTTCAATCAGGCACCCCCCATAGGTTGGCACCCCAGGCAGCTGCCCAGCTAGCGCCTCCCCTTAATCCGGCCCTGACTGGCCTTAGCTGAAGGGCAATGAAATCCTACATCAAGGGAAGATGCCTTAGGTTAAATGCCTTTCCAGAATTTCCTTGTTAAAATTATAACCCAGAGCCAGGCCACTGACAAGAGAGAGTGAGGTCTGCTTTGCAGCCTTAGCTGAGAGCCAGTTGGCTTTTAGTTCATGTGATAGTGGCTCATGATTTTAGCCCCTAACATCCCAGGTTCAATCCTACTTGCTGACGACCTAGCTCTGTCACGTTCACAAAATGCTTCAAGAACTTTAGTTTGTCTCATGAGATTTGCCTCAAATGAAGTTTCTGATGCCCTGGGATGTCCTGGGAAAAAGAACAGAAAAGGGATCCTCTCCTGTGCTCCCTACCTATTAATCATCTGATAAGGAATGGTATACAGTCTGGGAGCTAACTCCTCCTCATCTCCTGCTTTCTGTAGGGCCTGGTCGACACTACATCAGAAGGTCAAAGTAAGATATGCAACTCCAGTTACGTAAATGACGTAGCTGGAGTCGATGTATCTTGCATTGTGTTTCTGCGCTGTCCACACAGCAGGAGGCTGATGGGAGCAAGCACTACCCTCGGCTTCCTTTGCCCCTCGTGAGGAGCAGGAGTACCGGTGCCAACAGGGGTGCCCTCTGAGTTCGATTCAGCGGGTCTCTACTAGACCCGCTAAATCAACCCCTGGAAGATGGCCCGTGTCAGCGTTGATCTTCTGCGGAGTGTAGCTGTGCCCTAGAAGTTTGGAGTCTGTAAGGCAAGCAGGAGTTGGATCTTTGTGCTATAGCATGATAGACACAATTCCAGTTGAATCATACAATGCCACTTCACAGAAGTGCAGAAGGAGCTTAAAATGTGGGAAGGAAATCCACGGCCCCAGAGACCAGCATGCCATCTGCTCCCTTTGCACCATACCCCAGGGGAAATGGCAAACCAGAACTCAAACACTTTGCAGGAGAGGATGAGGCTTTGTGTGCTCTTTTACATGTGTCAGAGCTGCTGGGAGTTCAGTAAGTGTCCAGGGAGCGCTTGCAAGTGCCTGGCAGTCTGAGAGGACGTTCATGCATGCCCACGCTGTGTTCATTCAGCCCCACTGCTCTTGGAAAGCCACGAGCATGTTCATAAAATGCAGCCCCAAGGGATTTACAGCTGCTCCCAGCATGCTCTTTGTGTAATGTGTATGCTGCAAGGGATATTTCACCTCTTAACTCTCTCTCTCTTTCTCACACAGTCGTTTGTAGAGTTGGGCTGAGGGGCCAGAATTTGGGTCCAGCTGCAGATTTCAGGCAGCCTCAAGTTGAGGGACATCAGCATCCAATGCCGTTTTAGTTTGGCTCATTTCCTAAGTGTGGAGCTCTTAGCCTCTCCCACAAATTAGCGTGGCCGTAATTTGGCCTCAAACAGAGGGGCTATTTCCAACACTCAGTTTTGGATTTCAAAGAGGACATGCAGGGGATGGTTTCACTCTGGCCTTCAGTGGAAATTCGGATTTAACTCTGATTTCTCCTCTACTTTCATGGCTGGCAGCCCCATTCATGCTGTTTGTGGCTCTGTGGCATGCTTTGAGACCAATATTGTGCTGTCATTTGATATGGCATCCTCTGCTGAAGACATGTTCGCCCTCTCTCTGCTAAGACTGGGTATGTGTTTTGCCACCGAGACAGGTATTTTAACATACCCATTGTTAGAGCGAGCGGCTGTGATCTTCTTTACGCTGCTGTGCACAGATGTTGGAAGAGGGCGTATCATTTGAGAGCAAGCTAGTATATGGACAGCCCATCTGCTGAGTTGGAAACTCTCGTTTTAAAACCACTTCACAGTGAAGAGCCAAAGAGACGCCTCATTAAAAGCAGTGGAAAAATCCTCATTAAGTCATAGACCACTGAGGCTCTTACAGGAGATACCTAAGTCCCTAGGCTGATCAAGCCTCCCTCCCTACCTCTCCTGCTTGCTCTCCATCTAAACACAACCAATTAGAAATATGACCAGCTGGCTTTTCTTTCTGACGTGTCATATAGAAACCTTGGCTGTGTCTAGACTGGCAAGTTTTTCCGCAAAATCATCTGCTTTTGCGGAAAAACTTGCCAGCTGTCTACAGTGGCCGCTTGAATTTCCGCAAGAACACTGACGATCTCATGTAAGATCCTCAGTGTTCTTGCGGAAATACTGTGCTGCTCTCGTTTGGGCAAAAGCCCTCTTGCGCAAATCGTAGACAGCTCAGATTTGTTTTACGCAAAAAAGCCCCGATCGCGAAAATGGCGATTGGGGCTTTTTTCTGCAAAAGTGCGTCTAGATTGGCACGAACGCTTTTCCGCAAAAAGTGCTTTTGCGGAAAAGTGTCCATGCCAATCTAGATGCTCTTTTCCATTAAAAGCATTTCCAGAAAATCATGCCAGTGTAGATGTAGCCCTTGTGTGTGAAAAGCAATGAGCCTTGAGAAGCCAGCTCCAGGCTCAGACTATTGGTTTGGTGCCATTTGAAGGAGTTTTAAGAAATTGTATTTGCAATTTGCAGGCCCGGCCGGCTATTGCCATCTCCCTGTGCAGCAAACGTCGTTTGGACATATGACCTTTAAATGGGCTCCGTGGAGGGTTAAGCATCTGGCTTGGACATCAAAAGAGCCCAAGGGAATTAGGTGGTATCTAGCTAAGGTACTTACCCGGTCCCCATTACTGCACAGGTTGGATCTCCCTGGTCTGGCACCCTCAGAACCTGACCGGTCCCTAAGCAGGGAGTTTGCCATACAAGGGGAGGTCAGTGGCTGTGGGGCTCTGCTCCAGCAGCTGCAGATGGGCAGGCATTCATAGAACCATAGAGCTGGAAGAGACCTTAGAAGGCCATCAAGTCCAGCCCCCTGCTCTACGCAGGACCAATCCCAATTAAATCAGCCCAGCCAAGGCTTTGTCAAGCAGGGACTTAAACACCTCTAGGGATGGAGACTCCACTACTTCCCTAGGGAACCCATTCCAGTGCTTCACCACCCTCCTAGGGAAATAGTTTTTCCTAATATCCAACCTGGACCTCTCCCACCACAACTGGAGACCACTGTTCCTTGTTCTGCTGTGAACAGCCTTTCTCCATTCTCTTTGGAAGCTCCCTTCAGGAAGTTGAAGGCTGCTCTCAAATCCTCCCTCACTCTTCTCTTCTGCAGACTAAATAGACATTGATGGAGTGGGGATTGGGGTGGGGCAGCTTCGGACCCCCATGTCCAGGGGCTGGGAGCAAAGCCCTGTGACCATGGGACACTGTCGCTGGCCATTGCACTCCAGGTCCTAAGCTGCAGAGCTCCACAGCTGCCCTGCCTCTTCCCCTGAGTACCTCTCCCCCGAGTACCTCCCCCTACCCCCGAGCTTGAATGCTATAAATGAGCCATACGCGGTGCTCCAGAAGCTCTGGGAGGGAGGGGGGGGGAGTTATTGAGTATGGGGATCCTGGCTTTTCCTCGTGAGTGCTCTAGCCCTGGAGCACTCACGGGTGCTGGGCTGGGGACATTGCCTGGTGAGAGAAGTCTAGCCTGTAGTATGTGAGCACCTTTAATGTATGTAGCCTCACAACACCCCAATGAGATAGGGAAGAAGTATCTCCATTTTACAAATGGGAAACTGAACCACAGCTCCTCAGAGGTGTTCAGGTGCATAATTTTCGCTGGAATCAATGGCACTTAGGAACCTTTCTGAGCAGAAGCCAAAGTGACTTGCCTGAGGTCTTCCTCGATTCCTAGGTCAGACGGGACCAGTGTGATCTAGTCTGATCTTCCACATAACACAGACCAGAGTCCAGCCCCAAAATGATTCCTAGAGCAGCTCTTTTCAGAAAAAAAAAAAAAAAAGGATCCAGTTTTGACCTACAAATTGTCAGTGACGGGAGACTCCCTGACGGCCCTTGGTGAAATGCTGCCCTGGTCTCACAGGAAGCCCACAGTAATGCAGGCATTTGAACTTCAAGTCTCCGAAACACAGAACCATCTTTCCTCCACTGGCCCGTCCAATGGGGGTTGGGCACTTTAGCGCCATTCTTTTAGAAATCTCAGCACCTCACAGCTCATGCTGCCAGCAGCTGTCTCGCCAGGGTCGTTTATCTGCCGCGCCTCATCTGCGTGTTTGCATTGCCAATTTCAAAAGGAGCCGCTGCTAAATAAATACATGTCTGGCAAGCACATACCTGCTGCAACAAACAGAATCCCAGCGCTGAGGATAATGTTGTTTTTGCTGTTGTAAATCCTTCCTGCCCCCACACAGAGTCCTCCCAGCAACAGCAATATTGTGCTTAGGATGGGGAATACGCTGGAGGCCCGGACAATACCTGAGGGTTATATAAGAGGAAAAACATGACAGACAGTAATCAGCCCAGACCTCTTCTCAGTGCTTGCACAGAGAGCACAAGGCACATTTCCAGAGGGTGACCCCTCAGCCTTTGCATGAGGAGGCAGGTTTTTAGACCCTGGTCATGAGCCGATGGCTGATATGATGGAGACAAAGTGATTGTGACTGCATATACTTTTCCATTTGCTACTCCTAAATGTTTTGAGCTTTCTGCTGGCAAGTTTAGAGCGATTACCATAATCTCTGTTTTGATGCCGCTGCATGTGAAACATTTCTGACAGTGCACCAGCCAGCGAGGTTATAGAGACTAACCCACATCATCCTGCAGGCAGAAGCACTGAAAAATGCATGAGCTGATTATTAACTATATCATAACAGGTGGGAAGCTTTATGAGCTGTGGCTCTGGTTTGGAACATGTATGACCCCCGCACATTCAGGTAATTAAGTCTTTTGTCTTCGTGACCAGCCTTGTCAGGATCTCTCTTTGTCTGCTGTGGAATATTAATGGACTGAAAGCTCTCTGAGTTTTAGAAAGGAAGATATTTAGAATAGCGTACCGTGAATATTTTGCATTTAATTAGGATCATCTGTCACTCTCTATTTTATTTTATTTTATTTATGTTAGGAATTTTCAGGCCATGCACCAACATGGTATCTAAACCACTATGGAAAAAGTTAAATACCACCAGCAAGCCAGGTGTCAAAATCAAGGCACTCCTCAGTTAGCGAACAACAGAAAAGAATGAGGAGGGGAAAACAAATGGAGCTCAAACAGGAGGGAAAAAAAGGCTGCCTGCACAAGCAAAAGATGAAGGAGGAAATATGAAAGAGGTTGAACCTCTCTAGTCCGGCTCGCTCTGGTCCAGAACCATTCATATTCCAGCATGATTTCAGTTAGCTGGATGTCCACTAATTATGGGTGTGGCCAAGCTTCCGGCGGTCCCGTAAAGTATGTTTATAGCCACCAGTCTTGGCTGTTCTATGCTGTTATTTAACCCTAAATTACCCCAAATGTCTTCTAAGAGCCCAGTAAGCAGTGGAAGTGCTGGGAATGCTGCTAGACAATATTGACCTCCCATAATTTGGCAAATTCTCTTGTTCGGCACCGGTCAGGCCCTGAAGGTGCTGGACTAGAGAGGTTTAACCTGTAGAAATAGTTTCACAGAAAAGAGGGGCCTATGGGTGTGGGGAGGGTGGAGGGCGAGAATACATCTAGAGAGGTGAGTACACTAACTGCCAGGCATGCTGACGGGGGGTGAGGGCAAAGGGGGACACTACTCCGGGACCTGGTGATTCAAAAGGACCCAGGGCTCCTGGCTGCAGGAGCAGCGGCAGGGCTCTAGCCCCCGGCCCTTTAAATCATCACCGGAGCGGGTGGCATTGAGGGCTCGCTGCCTCAGCCCGGCCCCTTCCACCCATCACCCCACCCCTTTTGGGAGTGCATAGCTAGCCCCCCCTTCCTGACCCGGGGGCCTGACGAGGCTGTTGGCTCTCCTGCTAACTGCGATGTGTGGCACTAATGATGTGATCGCACCTGGGTGACATTTCAAGGTCCATCGTCTCGGTTGGTAGGCTCGGTAAACCATGCCCATTTCCCGAGAAGCAATCCCCGAGCTGAAGTGTCTCATTTCCATTTTGATGACAGCGGTTTGCCCTTATTAACCAAGTACTTTCCAACCTGACAGTTTAGCAGCACTTGCATGGGCTTCACACCTGCTCCCATGGTAATGCATGACAAAAACGCTCATTCCAATGCTGCCCTGCCAATTAGCAGAGCGCCCACAACTAGTTTTCTTTCCACTGGTGGGGCATGTTGTCACATGCCTTGGTGCACATAAACATTTATCCCGTGCATGGATGGAAAAAATCTGCACATGGATGGACTAGAGTAGAGGGAAAGGACCTGACTTTGCTAATTGCTGTACATTCGCAGAATAAAAAGTCCCTTCCCAAAGAGCTTACAATCTGAGCCCTGCATAGGTGCCAAAATGTGGTTCTGCATTCGATCCACATCTGTTGGAAACAACACACATTCGATCCACAAGCCGCTCCCTGGCTTGCAGGTGTATTTGCATCTGTATCTGCATCTCAGCAGCAACAAGTAGCCTCACAGTGCCTCACGCTCAGGAGGCTTGTCCGTGTCCTCCACAGAACACTGCAACCCGGCTCCTCAGTAAGTGCTGGGCAGGGCGGAACCGGACCAGCACCCATGTAGAGCCCTTTTTGTAGTATCCACATCCACTCCAATAGCTGCAAAAACTAACTCTGGGGGTGAAACAGATATCTGCAGATTTGCAGCACTCTACTTACAATTATTTTGAACTGCAGCTGTGAGAAAAGTTTGTGTCGTGCCATACATAGAGTCTGTGCCGCCCAGGGCCTGATGGAGAGATTTTCCAAGCTACTGTAAAACTGATTCCAATGAAATAATTTAAAACCATCTAGAGATACCGAGTAGATCCAGTTTTAGGCAGCGTGAACTGGTTTCAGGATGAATATACAAAGAAAATATGTTCCCATTACTTGCTCAGTTCTTATTAGGATACATAGTCTGATACCTGTGCCTGCTGCTGTCTTCCATTTTGCTTCTCACTCAATCATTCCTCTTGTTTTACCAGCATCTTGTGTGTCTTAAAGCAGCACACACAGCTCATGCTGAACAAAAGCAAGGAGATCGGGTGCTAGGAGTTGTAGGAATAACAGATTGTTTTTGTTTTAATTTGCCAGCAATTCCAAAAAAAAAATTTAAAAAATGGAAGGCAGAGTGCAGGTAGTTCGGAATAGGAAGCCTAATCCGAACTACCTAGTTCGTGCCGCGTATAGCCGCGGGCACGGAGTCCGAACTAGCGGACATTTAAAAATGGCGGCGCCCGGCAACATGCAAATGAAGCCCGGGAAATTCAAATCCCGGGCTTCATTTGCAACTCCGGTTGCCTACACTAACCACCCTAGTTCGAACTAGGGTGATAGTGTAGACATACCCTTGCTGCCTAGTTGATCTGGACCATGGTGAGTGAAGACATGCCCTGAGTGTGCTAACAACTCCCCACTGGAGATGCAGCTTAGGGCATGCACCACAAGAGCACTATGCTGTTTCAAGCCATTGTCATTCAGGGTAGTGGTGTTCTGACATGGACTCCTTCTGGGTACGTCTACACTACAACGTTAATTCGAACTAACTTAGTTCGAATTAGTTAATTCGAACTAAGCTAATTCGAACTAACGCATCTAGAACTAAAAACTAGTTTGAATTAGCCTTTTGCTAATTCGAACTAGCGCGTCCACATTAAGTAGACCCTGAACCAGGCTTAAGGATGGCCGGAAGCAGTGCCGGCAGGGCATCAGAGGAGGACTTAGAGCGTGGAGATGCTGTCTCAGGCTAGCCGAGGGCTGTGCTTAAAGGGTCCCGACCCCTACCCCGGACAGACAGTTGTCAGGGTTCCCCGCTTGCAAAGCAGTCCTGGCTTGGAGTGCCCTGAGTGCCCACACTGGGCACATCACAGCACTCGGCCATCAGACCGGCTGCACTTGCCGCAGGCTGCCATCTGGGGAGAGGGGGCAATTGGGGGGCTGC